AGGCGCACAGCTTTCTCCACCAGGCACTGTACTCAGGTGCAAGGTCCAGCATGGCACCTGTGGCTGGCCCTCTTGTCTACTACACATGAGGCTTTAGCCATCTGGGAAAATGCATTGATGATCCATGCTGGACACCCTGGAGAATCTGTCTGAATCTAGCAGGTCTCTTCTCTCTAAGAAGAAACTTCTCTGAGAAAAGGAATAGAATGCAGACAGACACACAGAGAAAGGCACTGAGGCTCAGAAATGAAATGATAGCAAGAGTCCCTCCCAAGCCCTGTCTGTCTGTCTCTCTGTCTGAATTCTGCCAGGATGTGGCCTCGGACAGGCCATGGGCTGCTCGGGGAGCACACTCAGGAGGGGGAGAGCAGCAGGCTTGGTGAGGGGGAAGGCCACTCCCACTAACCCTCCCTTTTCCACCTCCCCCCACCGAGGCCCAAGGCCAGTGCCTGGAAGGCCAGGGTCTGAGTCGCTGAGGGCAGCACTGAGGCTGCAGGATGGAGGCTTTTGGGGTTGAGAGATGGTTGGACATTGGGGAGTTGGGAGTTCCGTGTCTGAATCCAAACACTCTACTTGTGCAGTGATTGTCCCGCTGGTTCCTGCGTGTGGCAGGGTGGGCAGAGAGCAGGAGCTGGTGGGAGCCCAGCTTATATCCAGACGGTGGGGGAGGGAGAGAGAGTGCCAAGGCTTGGACAGGGCATTTCAAACCTTTCTCTTTCTCCAGTTCTCCTTCTGCCTGCCTCCTGCCAGCCTGTGACTAATTCCCTGAGGACAAGGCCACCTCCCTGGCTTAGTCGGGGAGACTTGAGTTTGACACCTTTCTACTCATGGGGGAAGTGACACCCCAGGGTGGGTTTTGTGAGTCTGGTTGAGGGCGGTGTCTGCATGAAAGGGAACCTGTTGACTGAGTCCCCCACCCCCATCTTCTCCTGACTCCCACCAAGCACAGCACTGGCTCTGGCTGGGAGAGCATTTTGCTCAGTTTGCTTTTTAAAAAAAAAAAACTCACAGAGAACTGTCTCCTCCGCATTGTTGTGGAGCCTCGATAAATGAGACAGGAAGATGGGGGCAGGATGAGGAGGTGACAGGAGCTGGCTGCCAGGTTCCCTCTGCGATCCATCTCTGCAGAAGCCAGCGTTAATGCCAGGAGCCTCAGCAAGACCGATCTCCTGCTGTGACGGTTTGGACATCTAAACATGACCTTGGGTATGCCCAAACCGCAGCTGGAGCTACGCCAACGCCTCAGCACCGTATATCACAGAGGCTGCACCGCAGCGCTGAAAAGGGGCTGCATTTGGAGTGCAAATGCACCTGCAAATGAGCATCTTTGGTCCTGTGGGTGCGGGGCCGAGTGGTGAGACTGCTTGGTGCCAGCCAATCCCGATGATTAAATGCTCACAGGGAAGCCAGGACCGCCCTCCCAGAGGCCTTTGCAAGAGGCAGCAAGGCACCCCACTGTGGGCATCCAAACAGGGATTCAGGCGGTTTTGGTTTTGAGGCTGATGGTCAGCATTTCCTGCACCAGAGCCATTCACCTGTATCCGGTCACATCCGGGGCTGCTGGTGGGAAAAGAACTAGCGCTCTGCCTGCCAGAGCATATTGGTCATTAGAACGTTCTCCCTGGGAAGTAATGGAAAACGGCTTCAAACAAGACTCATTTCCTGGGGCCCATGCGCTCGGCTGCTCTCAGCTCACCAGAGACCAGGTGTCTAAATGAATGGGTGTTCAAGTGTGGTCGCCAGGCCAGGCCGCAGCCGGCAGTCTGTATGCATCAGGGCTTCCTGGTGAGTCAGATGAACATTGAATTTAAATGTGATGGCGTCCGATAAGGACATTCAAGAACACTGAATTTGAGGAGAAGGAAAAAAAAAAAACACACACAAAACCCCACAACCAACCCACAAAGAACAGCCACAGCAAAAACCCTGGTTCTGATTATTGGTTCTGCAGCTTCCTATTGGTGCTCTCTTAATCAATTTGGATATTGCTTAGCCTCAGTTAACCCCATCTATAAATTGATAACGATAAGTGAATCCAAACCATTTCTGAGAGCATCAAATAGTGTATGGAATAGGCTCGCTCAGTACTGAGCACAGAGTGATGGGTGTTTAGTAAACATAAGCAATGTATACGAATTTCACCAGTTTCCCTGTTGAATCTGAGCAACACTTAGAGTAGGGACTTTAAGGACCAGCCCAGGTTTGTTACCAGCAAAGCGAGCTGTGGAGCCAGTAGTTCTTAAGGGATTTGGGAACCATTGTGGTTCCAAACTCACATTTCAGGCGGGGCAGCCTGAGAGGAAAGAGTAGGGTCTGCTAGGAAGGGTTGCACACCGGGTGCTGCCTCTGTGAATGGGCTGGGCTTCTCTACTGCGCACGCGCAGAGAGGATGCTGGGTATTGTCAGCAAAGCCTAAAGGAAGCCTTGGAGCACATGGCAGGCCATCCACGCTTCCTGTCCACCTGGTTACCTAGGCATCTTATGCAGGCGCTGACTCCAGCTCATTACATCTGCAGCGAGGCCTGCAAAGCTGCATTGCCATCAAGCTTTCCATTGATGGTTTTCTGACCACACTTTTGCACAGTGAGGCACTTACTTAGCGCTCCTCATTCCAAATGTGCATGCGATTCTCCTCTAGATTCAGGCTACTGAAGGGGTAGCCTAGGCGCCATCGCATGCACATCACCTGGGGGGTTACTAACATGCAGACTCCCAGGCCCCAACCCAGACCCACCACAGCACAGTGTGCATCTTAGTAAGATCCTATGGAGATCACATGCGTGGCAGAGCCGAAGACCCATCAGGACTTGTCCTTAGTCCCGTAAGATCCTTGGTTAAAAGCTCTGCTGTCACCTCATTGAAGTCCTTAATAATCCTTGGCCAAAGGGCTCTGCATTTTCCTTTTGTACCAAACCTAACGTGACCAGATGTCCCGCTTTTGGTGGGACAGTCCCAATTTAAAAGAAATTTGTCCCGTGTCCCACTGTGTTTGAAAACAGACCCGATAATCTTTCCAAAAACAGGGACTGTCCCGCCAAAAGCCGGATGTCTGGTCACCTTAACCAAACCCCACAAATCACATAGCTGGCCATGGGGTGCACTGCTCTCCACCAGTGTTTTTAAAACTTTGGTGTGGATAGGACCAAACTGGGATATTAGGAAATCCACATTTTGGGAGTTCCCAAAGACTCTCAGTCAGTAGCAAAGAGACTCTGTAACAAACTTCTTATACGATTCTGATGCAGGCGGTCTGTGCCCATTGTCAGAAAGACCCCCTGGTCGTTTTCTTGTCAGGTTTCTACCATCCCTCCCCTGTGCTGTCCGGGAAACACAGCCGGAAGCACAGAGCCCTCTGGACAGGGAGCGAGGCGCTCTGGCTGAGCGGTGTCTCTGCGGGAGCTCTCAGCAAGGCTCCCCACCTGCGCCAGAGTGGCCCTGCAGGGTCGGGTGACATTTCTACAAGCACAAGCGGAAAGGATGCACAGCGCAGGGCCCTTCTCTTGAGAGGGACCCCCTAGGAGTCTGGTGCACTCGACAGCTGTCCTTAGGCTGTTGATGGTCACGGGCCGGTTTGAGGATTCGGTGGCAGCGATCGTGCCTCCCGCTGACACTCACCTTTGCTAGATAACCTGAGTGCCAGGGCTGACGTCACCTCCTAGCTCTTTAACCTGGGGCAAGTCACCAGGCCTTGGAGTCCCATCTTTAAAGGAGAGAGTGGGAAAGGTCACAGATTTATGGCAGGAATCAGATGAGTCAGTGTGGATGTAAGAGTCCTTTTATACCACAAAAGCATATATAAAATCGAGGCACCGTTGTAGACACTTGCTATTTCCAGCATTATAGTCAGGAGGAGGACAGGGTTGTGAATTTAGCCTAAGGCTATAGGACACAGTGGGTGCATCGCGGGACAGATGCAGACAGAGAGATGGGACCAGGCGTTGGCGAGAGTAGCTGGGAAAGTTGGAAGTGTAGGGAAAGCGAAGGGAGCTGCCGTATTTTGGGGACTCCAGATGCAAAAAGAAAAGAAAGAACATCTGCCTCTACATGTGCAGCCAGTGTTGAGATCTTGGAAAAAGCCTTTCATGTAGCAATAATTGAACATTCCCGCCCCCAAATATAATGAAGACAAGTTGCCGTGGTGGTGGTCCTACTTAGCTTTGACTTCAGACGCCTCCTGTCAGAGCCCGCTAATCTCAGATGAGAAGACTGTTTAGGAGCTACAGTCTGGGTCTCTGATCTATCTCATAGTATCTGTGTGGTTTGGGGCAGCATTTAACTTCTTTGTTCTTTGATTCCTTTGCCTCTAGAACCTTCCTCATAGGGTTGTGCATGTGCTAAGTATTGAATGACTCAGGGCACTTGGACCACCTGGTGAGGAATAATGCATCATGGAAATCCTGTGGCAGAAGGAGGACTGGCTGTGCTGGGAGGACCCAGGCATCTGCTGGGGAAGATGCCTTGGGCTTTAACTGTGAATAGTTTGGGCCATCCGAAACCGGTTTGGCTCAGTGGATAGAGCATTCTTCTGCGGACTGAAAGGTCCCAGGTTTGATTCCGGTCAAGGGCATGTACCTTGGTTGCGGGCACATCCCCAGTAGGGGGTGTGCAACAGGCAGCTGATCGATGTTTCTCTCTCATCTATGTTTCTAACACTCTATCCCTCATGCTTCCTCTCTGTAAAAAATCAATAAAATATATTTTTTAAAAATAGGTTGGGCCATTGCACTGGCCCTGTTCTCAGTGGTTACAGAAGCACTGATGTGCTCAGGACCCAGCGGTCTGACATATCTAATATCCTAAGGCTCTAATCTCATGAGGCCTCTGCCACCAATCCCAGGAAGCATCATCAGTGACTGGTCACACCCAGGCCACGCATGCATGGAGACTAGGGCAGGGAGCGGAGACTGACACAAAAACTCACTCCTCCCTTGCCAGGGGCTTCATCCTGATGGCTCCTCTCCTTTTTTTTTCCTGACATATCCCTCTGATCTTCCTTCCAGGTGCACCATTGACAACCGGGTCACCCGGGTGGCCTGGCTCAACCGCAGCACCATCCTCTACGCCGGGAATGACAAGTGGTGCCTGGACCCCCGCGTAGTTCTCCTGAGCAACACCCAAACCCAGTACAGCATCGAGATCCAGAACGTGGACGTGTATGACGAGGGCCCGTACACCTGCTCTGTGCAGACGGACAACCACCCCAAGACCTCCCGGGTCCACCTCATCGTGCAAGGTAGGTGGGATCTGGCTGGGCGGTCTGAGCCGCCGCTGGAGAGCCAGTGCTAAACACTTGGTCTGTGATCCTCAACAGAAATGGGTTCTGTCTGTCTGTCCCAGCCGGCCAGGACACCTTCTTAATTGTCATCTTGCCCTTAGATGTTGAGTTTTCATGTAATTTTCCCATTGACTAGGACCAGGATCTTTTTTGTTGTGGCTGTTGTTCCAATAATATATTTTCTCCGGAAATTCTCTTCTAATTATTGCTTTCCTTGGCTTTTATCTTCCTCTGAAGATGTTTTGGTTCCTTCCAATTCTAAGCTTGCTTGATTGGAAGAGCGGCATTTGGGTTTTGGCCCCTGACCCCTGACCCCTGCCTCACGCTGCCTTCAGAGAAAGCAGAGCCCAATACAGGGGCACTGGCAGCTACCCGGAAGCATTCTGCCCAGCACCTGCGTCTTTATCTTCCCTCACTTCATTTTTCCTCACCCCCCGCCCTGGGTTTGTTCTCCCTATCTCTGATTCACTATGTTTTGGTTGTGCCCCTCAGCCTCAGCTTTTGGAAGCTGTACATTCATTTCCTTTTTGGATCTCTCTTGGTTGTGCTCTCTCTGTGATGCTCAGGCCCAGGAATGGTGTTTGCCTCTTCCCCAGGAAGCAGAACTGGTCCTGGGGCATTCACACAATACTTAGCCATGGTGGTTGTGTTCCTAGCTAGGAGGAGGCACTGGCCCTGACAGAATCAGACTGGGCCTCTTTCTGGCTGTAAGACTTGGATCTGGTTTGAACTGAGCCTCAAGACTTTCCTCTATGCCCGTGGTCGGCAAACTGTGGCTCGCGAGCCACATGCGGCTCTTTGGCCCCTTCAGTGTGGCTCTTCCACAAAATACCATGGCCTGGGTGAATCTATTTTGAAGAAGTGCCTTTAGAAGAAGCTTACGTTTAAAAAATGTGGCTCTCAAAAGAAATTTCAGTCGTTGTGTTATGATATTTGGCTCTGTGGACTAATGAGTTTGCCCACCACTGCTCTATGCAATGGGTCCGTGTCATGAGATGCTGTGGGGAGAACCACATTTTACATGTGCTAATGTGCGGAACACATAGAAGAGGGACTGAAACATGAGATGCTGCTTAAGTGATAGCTATCTTTTAACCTACTGTTGTTTTTAAATTTTTAATACATCTTTGACAGTGGACCAGTTCCTTCCTTGCTTATTATTTAGATGTGTCAGCCCTTGAACACAGAGCCTAGCTCCTCTGTGACCGCTTCTTTCCCAGTTCCCTTCACTTGCTCAAATGGCAGGTTGGGGCACTCCACTTCTCTTTCAGATGTTCCTTCCCTGCCCCTTCTTGTCAGTGTGCCCTGGAAATGGTGAGGATACCTTGGGCAGAGAAAGGTAGATCAAAAAGGAAAAAAAAAAAAAAAAAAGCAAAGGAGCAGGAAGAATGAAGGGGAAGCTGGCTGTGGGAAGGCAGGGAGCTGTGTGGAGTATGGGCAGGAACTGCAAAGAGCGGGATAGTGTGACCAAGGATGTGGAGAACACACAATGGGAGTGAGAACAGCCTGGGCCCTGGATAGGACAGAGAATCACATCACTGGGACATCGGACCCCCCTCTCCCCCCAGCTGGTTCAAATCAAGTTGTTTTTGTTTGTTTGTTTTTCTTACTCTTCATTTCCAAAAGGAAATTTTTCTTTTATCAGTTGTATAAATTAATATTTTTCAAACTGCTGGGTGCAAACAGCAGTTTTTAAAGGAAATAGAATTGCACAGAAGCTATCAGAGTGTATTGCAAACAACAAAGTAGGTATTGTTACATAAAATTCTGTGTCATTGAAAGTTTTTAATTTAAAATACATGTTTATTGTGGATAGTTGGCCAAAAAGCTTGAGAATCACTATTGTCTGAGGAGTTTCCCAGAATGCCCACTTCCCAGGAGTTTCATTTACATCTAAACCAGGTGGTGCATTTGAAACTGTTCCCCAAGCTCCAGCCTGCCCTGCCCCCCCTGCCCACTTGTACCTTTGAGAGCAGACTGTCTAGCAATGACCGTGACACCAGGACAGGACTGTCACAGACATTTGCTGTAGGAAGCAGGCATTTTATGAACTGGAGCATGGGAAGAATAGTGATGAATTTTGAAGCCTCTTTGAAAATAGGCACTGCATTTTTATAATTTTTTTTTCTTAAGCTTATATGCTCCTGCCCTAATGTAAGTGCCTTCTCCAAAGTGAACATTTAGTAAGTGCTTATCGAATCAAATGGCAGGAATTACAGCTCCGAGGTCTCACATAGACTCTCAGAGAGAAGGTTGAGTATGTGAGGGATGGAGAGATGGGAGGAGGAGAGGGGAGGGAGCCACATCAATTTTCACTCATGTCCAAGCTAATGGAAAACGTCTAATCCCCAACGAGGTGTTCCCTTCCGTGAGCTGGCGAGGTGCCCTCTTAGCCTGACACACCACCTCAAGTATCGGAATCTCATCTCGGGCTAATTTTCGAATGCTGATGGGTGTATTGATCTGGAGACAAGCTGGGATAAAAAAGGCACTGGTCTTGTACACAGATTCAGCCCCAGCTAATCCGCTGTCGATATGCCTGGCCTGGGCATTATTGACACTCTAATGAATAGAGGGCCATCGTTTTCCAGGACCAGCCTGTTCCCCCCTCTTTAAAGCAATCAGACCAACTAAAGAGAGGCAGACTCCCTCGTTTCTGTATTGGGAAGAGGATGCATTGCCATCCGGGATTAAATATATATATATGTTTATTTATCTTGGGAGCTTTTATTTTACTGAGCATGGAGCCTGGTTCCCCCACTGAAGCTGACTGTCTGGATTCTGTAGAAGTTTCTCCAGAGTGGGAGAGTTGGAGTGAAAGTTAGGCATGTTATGTCTTCAAAATGGTATTATGATCATTACACACACACACACACACACACACACACACACACACACACGCATGCAGCAGGAAAAAGGAGTAAACTGAGTGTGTGTTTTTACATATTAAGCAGCCAGTTTTGTGTATAAATAAACCCACACAGAGAAAGGTAATGCATTTCTGTAGTGTCCTGAAAGCTGCTGAGGGCTGAGATTGTCTCTTTCTCCTTACTCTCAAGCATGCCTCCATCCCACTGTTCTACGTGCTCCATCTTCTCTGTGGCTGTGATGGGACATGCCAAGACCCAGGATCCATCCTTGCATCTGCCAAAGAAGCAGATCCTTCACCCAATGCATGTTCCCATCATGCTTCACTCATTCATACAGCTGTGACCATTGGGAGACAACCCTGGTGCTGTGAGGCTGGCCACGCACTTAGCATGAAAAATAAATTGCTCCAAACAAGCTAGTTCCCATTCCTGGACCGTGTTTGCCCCAATCGTCCTCAGAATTCAGCTGCCCAGAATATGGCTGCTGCTGGCTGCATCCTGATGACCGTTACTGTGGGTCCTCCATCCCTGTGTTGGCTGATTAGGTATTAAAAAAAACATTTTGAATGATTTCAGAGAGGGAGAAAGAGATATAAACATCAGTGATGAGAGAGAATCATTGATGGGCTGAATCCTGCACACCCCCTAACTGATGATTGTGCACTGACTGGAAATAATAATAATAAGTGACAGCCATTACTGTCCAACAAGAGTTAAAGCAAGAGTGGGATTCAGTGACCCGAAGTGCCAGGTGTGGTGTAGAAGGGAGTGGAGTTTTGTGAGAAGATAGAGATCTTTTAAAGACAGGAGGGGATTGTTTAAAATGATGGAGGGCTTGGTTCCTTTGTTAGCGAGGACAGAGAAGAAGGGCCAGCGTCTGAAGATGTAACTAGGGGAGAAGAGACAGAATTAGGGAACTGGACTGGTTGAATATCGGGGCTGGAGCGGGGAGGACAGGAGGGTTGTGAGTCCATCAGGACATTAAGATTTCCAGTTGGAGCCCTGGGAGAGCTTGGCTTGGCACTAAGGCATCTGGAGTGTCAGCTGGGAGCACATCCTGTGGCAGAAGTGCGGGGGTCAGGTACTCAGACTGTTGATTTTACGATGCATTGCAAACTTCATTCAAAATGAGTTTGTGAGAGTAAGAAACACCACCCATGGATGGCCATGCCCACTTAGGCAGCTGAATATCATCTTTCAGGCCACCACCGCAAGGGAAGCTCTCTCTAAGGTTCATTAAAACTTGGGCCGAGCGATTTCCCTGGCTTTGACCTCGGGGTGTTCTGCTTTATGAGCGTAATTAATAAGGAGCTGCTTCAAGAGTCTAGCTGCGGATTTCCACCCTTCACCCCTCCCCGTCATGCTGCCAAACTGGGCTTCTGGGACATTTTAAAATGGCCACACGCCTGTCATTTCCCCCTGAAAGAGGACTTAACTTGGCAAACCCAGAGTGAATGGGAAGCTCAGTGGGTTGACCCCTCTGACAAATTAAGGACAGTGCAGATACAGAGCTCTGACTGTATCTCTAAAATCCCTGAGTGTGGAGGTGCTGGAGATGCAGAAGTGCCCTGGGGTCTGCAGGCATGGGGGAGGCCTGCTGGGACACCTGTGGCTGTCAATGCACAGACATGTTTGCAGGATAGACCGGACAGAATGCGGTCCTTGAACACATGTGGATGTTGGGTGACAGGTGTAGTAGTAAAAGCCTTTGTTCTCTTTACTCATTTTCCAAGCCCCACTAGGTTCCCTGCTTTGTTACTGAGCATCTAGCCACCCCTTCCCTTTTGTTTGGTGTAAATGAGTTTTCCTATTTCTCCCTGGGCAGAATTAATCCGAAAATCCCTGCTATTGTTTGATAGTTAATCACCTGTCTTTTGGATCCAGCAGCCCTGGGTCTCCCGTGGAAGGGGGAAGCAGGCTGGTGTATACGGGATGAGACAGGGACGAGAGAAGGTGGTGGTGGCATTCCAGAGAGGGAGGGCCAGACCTGGGGGACACCTTTCGCTGACCTTTGACTGTCCTCCTGTTCTGAACCCTCTCCTCTGACCCACCTGCTCTGTGTAATCCTGTTGCTTTCCAATCATGAAT